TATATGATTTTCACAAATTTAATGCACGGGGAGAGTATACACGGTACTGTAAAAAGTTACTAATTCAGTGTATCCGCCATAAGTAAAAATGTACAGCTATTCAACGCAAACTATCAAATATAAGTCAGGTGTGGTCATATTATATGCATATATTTTGGTTTTGTCCTCAAAAGGGAATTGCCTGCGTCGCCATGAAGTGGTTTAGCTCCGTTGTCGTCATTGCCATTACAACTCTGGTAACTGCTCGGCCAGAAAAATTGAACAAGGACCATCCTGCTGCCTTTGAAGAAGGTAATCACTTTTTAATAGTATTTCAAAATACTTTTAACAGTTGTTTGTGGTGTTCGTAATTACTATAGAGTAGCAAAGATAAACGTTTGCCATCCAGTTTACAACAGTTTAATTAATAATACATTGACGTAATATAGTAAAAAGATATGCCAGAGTTCAGAACAGTCACAGTAATTTAAACATTAAATGGGTATTGAACATGAGACTACGAACAGTACCTTATGTTTCAGCCCTTCTGGCACATAGTCGTGCCAAACGTGACTTGTTCGTCTATGGAAACTGGTGCGGTGTCGGCATCACTGGAGTGGGGACAGCTTGCACTTGTGAAGATACCGTAGCAGACTGCGAGTATGTATTCCTTTTTCCTATATAAGAGTTCTATTTTGTTACTGAGACCGCCGAGACAAATAATCTGAAAGTAATCCTGCATATATGTTTGCCGAAAGATGTTTGATTTTAGCTTAGAATAACACGTTTTTGTTTTAAAAAATATTATATTGGTCCTCACAAATTTGCAAAGACATTTCCAAAAGTTCGTCAAGGGTTCAAACAATGTTCCATACACTACTGTATATATAACCATGTCAGATATTTGGTCAGTTTTATTTTTAAGCAGTCATTAATCAGTATCTCCAACCCGCAAGAAGATCTAACGGTATAACAACATACCGTTTGTTGATTCCTAAAGATATTAATTTGATCGAACTAATACTCCGATGCATAGTTAGACTGACAGTTAGGTTTTTATGCGATCTCGACAGCGGTACATACAAGTAAGTTATTAGTGAGAAAATCAAGTCAGTTATTGGTGAGAAGATCGATATTTAAAAATACAGATTTAGTAAATCTAATTTACATGTAAGACACAGTTTGGCTATTCCAGCAGCCAGGTTTTAAGCAGTTCAACGGTAACCATTAACCGTTAACGCACACACCCAAACAAAAAAAGGTTAAAACGTATACCAACACCATTTATATGAAATAAGCTTGCCCTGTTAAAATGATGAAAAGTACTCGTAACAGACGCTGGAAACTGCGGTTACCGTGTAGTACCAGAGCGTGGCCCCAATGCTCTCCGTAGGGTCTTGAACAGGCTTGGCGAAAAAAAAGCTTAATTGCTGCAAATTAACCTCTTTAGAGTTAATTAAGTATTTTACAGACACCTACATAACATCTAGACTAAAGATCCTGTCAGGGCTTTGTTTCTGATTTACAAAATAATCACTAAATGTTTATGATAACTGATGTTTCTTTGCAGCATAGGAGTCTTAGTTTTTTTTTTCATCGTAGAAAAGGGATAAACGTTCCACCTAAGGAAATGATGTATTAAATTATCGTTATAGCTCACATTTTAAGTTTAGATTAACATCTTTATCGGCCACGTTACCAGCACGTCGTGACTGCCTATAGAATTTCATGTCGGCGGTCACAATGTGTAGCCCCCGACCGTTTTTCAAGGGACCTCGTTCCTTCCACGACCACAGCAATCATGGAGATTTGTTAACTTTCAAAAGCCTCAACCGTTTTTGTTTTGATTGCAGTAAGCTTTCTATAATGCTCCAAAGTGAAACTTAAATCAAAAGTTAGGTGACCATCCAATCGTCACCTCACGGATTTGGGAGTTTGTTACGACACGTTTACACCTAAAAACGTATTTATTTATTTATTTTTATTTATTTATTGTCTATCTGCTTTGATACAGTTCAGCTCTGGCCAGTTAATTGGCGGCGCTGTCTTAATGAATCTATAGTATCCCTTTTTCATGGTATGATATTTCGAAAATATATAAATGATAAAGAAATCAAAATTTCTTTTAGGGCTGCCCTTGCACCCAAGGACTCACTGGACGCGGCTTGCTTAGAACACGACCTCTGTCTGTGTAACAAGTAAGTAAACCTCACGCCACCTTTAACATCTTGGGATCATAAAGGTCATAAAAAGGGCAGTGTAAATTTGCTAGCAAATATATTCGCCAGGTGTGCTTCTTCGCGTTGGAATTAAGAGATGTGTATTTAGGTGACTATAAGTATTTGTTATGTTTGATACATTCTTTTATTTGTTACAAGTAAAATCTTTGTTCTGTTAATCCGAAAACATGTGCAGTTCAAATATATGTTCCCACAAATAACACCCATTATAGCTGGAGAAGGATCTCGGCATGCTAATTGCGTTTTCTATCATTGTACAATATAGGCCACCAGGGGACTTACCCGAGCTGATCGCATTATGTCAGTGCAATATGGAGATCTACAATGATGCCTCAGCCAATAACGTCTGCACGGAGTATAGCTGGTGGTGGAATTTCTTTGCCCGCAGTAGTTGCGAGTCCTACAGAGCTGGGTTAAAATCAGCATTTCTCTTTGCCCCGTGCTACTGCCAAACGTCGTCTTCGGTTGTGCTAGGTTTCCCACAGTGTCAATCACCATAAATAGTAATGCGAGTCAAACGGATATTTTGAGAGCTGAATAGGTCGGACTGAAATAATAACGCCTCAATGTGCGGGTAAAGAATAATCATTTTGAATATATATCAAGATAAGGCAATTTTTGCTGCACTTTCTACTCATCCATACCATTGTATGATGGCCATTTCTTCCGTAAAATATATAAAACATATGTTATTTTGATCTAATTTTACTACTTTTACACTGTCGATGAAATAAATTCAATATCCATTTGACGCTTATTCTTTGTTGTTTATTTTTTCCTTTCTTGGATATGAATCACGATTTTAAAAACATAACAACTACAGCTGAATGGAAGCATACACGTCGCAAAGAACTGGCATTAAAACCTGACATTAATCTCACCCACATGAGTGCATTAGCTTATTTTGGGGAATAAGCTCGCCTCTCAGCTGTGATTGGACAATTTAAGACATGCAACCCTTAAATGAAATATACTGTGCATAATCTGTGACCAGTCACTATTTTTGGGAACTACTGCCTTCAGCCACACAAGTATTAGGTTTCTCGTGGCTGTGCGCGTCACTTTTGGTCGGAAACGGTGTGTGGTCTTTGGTGCCAAGTCGATTGCAAGACCAGTGTGACAGGAATGGTACTCCACTATAGCTAGGAACCGCAGTCCTTCCCCCGTGGTCCTTTATGTACAGGCGAAATTCTTCTCGTATACTGACCCCACAACTCCATTCTTAGGGCTATCATTCCCGTCACACGGACAAAAACTTTCATATCGACCGACGGTTTATTTCGAAGTCAAATAAAAAAGTAAACTTCAGGAATTTCACGGCAACAATCGGCTGTTTGAAGATGGGTTTCCCCGATATCTGCATGTCGCTGTACGTAAGTTGGCAAGATTCGTCGAAAAGTAAGCGATTAAACTCAAGAACTTAATTTACTTTGTCTGCCAAAGCCAAATCCCGCGAAAACTCGATTTTAAGGTAAATCGCGACTTTGGGTTCATTCGGACGATTCCAACTAATATATCCTTTCCCATCTTATCTGATTGTCTGTTCGACTGTGCTATTTTGTTGGACTGTATTAAAATTATACTTAGGGTGCTTTCCCAGAGATTTAGATCGATCTAAGGATTAAGATTTAGATCGACCTAACTCCCTGGGGGTTCACGCTAAATTGCAGTCAGCAGAGCGGACACCATAGTTAATTACCCCCTTACAGCTTTTAGTAGGCGGGACAAACGCTTAAGACCGGCCAAGCTGACAGTAATCTAGTGAGACTCCCCACAGGGATAGATTGATCTAAAAATATATGGAAATGGGGTGTTAGATATTTTTTAAATGTGTTAACTAACATTGCCATTGTTAGAGAAATGAACTAAAATTTTATGATAAAGGGGTGTAAATGGAGAATACGCCAATTTTGTTTTTGTTTCACAGAAAGCAGTCGCTGTTTATTAGGAGATTAACATTAGGCGGTATACTCTTACAAAAAAGAATAACAATGAATATGTTATATTACGTAAGTATATATTATGTCATTAAAGCAGTTAGCAATTATGTTAATTTGAAAAAGACGACGTTTTACCCAGATAGGTTGATAGGTTAACCATTCGATGGGACAGCCTGAATATAGCCATATTATCCAAGGAAAGTAAGCGATGACAGTCATCAGCTCAATTTTGTCGTGCTCCTGTGAGTTAGCAAACTGTTTGGTTTTTAGCAACTAGAAAAATTAGGAACATATTTCTGTTTAGAGTCACACCAGCAGGGTAATCCCCCAAAAAGCGCCACCATGGAGGCGGCGTAGGTTGAACACTGAGCACGCTTGAGAAGATTTTTCCAGCCGCTGTATTGCCGGCACACTGACGATCCTTTGATATTGTTGTAAACTTCTCTCTCGCAGTAGCATTTGTGGAGAACATTTGACGGTGGTCTGAAAGTTATAACACAGATGGTAAGGGGAAAAGTTGAGGCAGGCGGGTGGTTTGAAATATTGTGAAAAACTAAATAAGATTCTTTGATTCAAGTACATGTAAGCGTGCAGTAGAAAGTAAACACGAAAGTCAAATCCGAAGGCACAGGAGATAATTGTATTAGATAAGCAAGTTGAAATGAAAAATGAACTATAAAAATTAGGCAGCAAACGTTCCGTATACATTGTACAATATACGTGGGGAGGGAGAACCCTTATAGACCTGATAAGAGATGGGTGTGGTAATGAAAGATTAAGGTGCGTACAGAGGTCAAAGGACCCCGATATTTTTTATTTCGTTTCTAAACATAATTCTTTACGACGAAAACAAGTAATTACGGTTATATAGGATGTGCAAAAAATTAACTCACTCTTTGACTTCCCTTTACTAACAAATGTGTTTTTGAGAACGGTCTTATTTTATTATGATTTTAATATTTCTTCTTCACATTAACTCATTATACCTGTATCCATGACAATAAATATCAGTCGAAGAGTGGGTTTATTTTTGGGTCACCCTGTAGCCTATAGGCAGAAAAGATGGGTATTCTGCTTGGCAATAAAACCTAAAACTATTTTGTGCTGTAGAAACAAATGGCGTGAGGACTTGACTTATCTTATCAATATTGTTAAAGAAACCATTTTTGGCAAATTTGTTCTAGCATACTGATATACTGGTCGCGTACATGTACCTACTTTGAAAACAAAAGCGATGCTGTAATTATAGATCTATATACTTACTGATCACAGAGACACATGTCGTGTCTGAGGCACATTTCGTCCAATTGGTCTTTGGGTGGAAGACAAGCCCTATGAATAAAATAACATAAAGTGCACGCAAATCATTAATAGAAAAAAATCTTTCTGTCGACAAATAATATTATTTAAAACTTTTAGTACCCCTATGACAGTTTCATAAAATTTTATAAATTAATATATATTGTTGTAATTGTAGAAAAAAAATACATATAAGGTAAAAACGGTTAGCCACACTATCTGGAGGTTCTGACATTACAATGACATAATTCAGTCAATTTCGTGCGAATCAGCGACAATAAACGTAATACAAAGAGAAAAAAAGAAATAAAAGAAATTATTAAAGATACCTGCATTCTTCTATTGTGTTGGCACAGGTACAGCAGTCCAAGCCGATGCCGGTCGTCCTCAATCCGCACCAGTTACCATATTTTGTCGGTGAACGTTTGGAACGAATATGAAATGCTATAAGCAGAAATTAAAACAAAAAATCACGATACCCTCGACTTAACTTCTGACATACTACACGTTGTTCGTGTGCAACTACATCTACCTCCGCTGTCACGTGACAGAGAGTCCCCCTATGTTAGAAAGTCCACTTCGCACTCATTTGTACAGATTAACCTCCCCATAGATTCTGAACCACTTAGGTCAGGCTAACCCTAACCATTATAACTAAATGGAGGGCGGAGTTTCTGTTACGCAGACCCTCAGTTTCGTTACACCGGTACACGTGTCTGTGCATTTACATGTTACCGCACCTGCATGGACATCTACATGTAATTCAGTGAGATATTTATTTTGACATTTATATTATCGTGATTTGATAACATTTTCTAATTTTAATTACGTGCTGAACAGTAGGGATTGCAGTTTAGAAACCATACCAGTACCTCCTACATCAGTTCCATGGGCGAAGCAGGCAAGGGTACAGGTAAAAACAAATAACGCAGCAAGTGGCGCCAACATTGTCATTGTGTGCCTTCTACACGTGAAAGTCTCTAAAGAAAGAAGACAACATGTGTTATATATATATATATATATTACGCACGGCAGTCGTCGATATCTATATATCTATCTATCACATCCTGTCAGGAGAGATTCTGAACCAAATGAGCACAGGCACTAATATATTCAACATATAAGATAAAGATGAAATTAGAATTTAATAAAAGTTAAAACTCTTATACTGGAGCTTCAACGAATTTAGCCGAGGAAGACCTTTAGAAAGTATTGCGGCTGAGACGTACATGTAGTAACCTCAATTTCAAACGTTATTTTCAGTATAAATTTTAATTATCTCACATGTACATATACATGTACCTGAACAGTGTATCTAAGGCCCCATTTCCATAGATTTTAGATCGATCTATCCCTGTGGGGAGTCTCACTAGATTTCTGTCAGCTTAGCCGGCTTAAGCGTCTGCCCCGCCTACTGAAAGCTGTAAGGGAGTAAGGGGCAATTAACTATGATGCGTGCTCGGTTGACTGCAATTTAACGTGAACCCCCAGGGAGTTAGGTCGATCTAAATCTTAATCTCTGGATCGATCTAAATCTCTGGGAATACACCCTCAGTTTAAAACCTCTAGATACTTCAATTCTTAATTTCATCTTGACATTCGACACTATCCATGCTGAATACAAACAATGTAAGCGCTAAGAAAAATGTGGCTAATCCAGGAGACATAATGACCCTTAACAGCTGAGGTACGTTCATCTAACTTTCCCTCCCAAAATAATTAAACAGGATGGCTAAAGGAGACTAAGTCAATCAATTTCCGTCAATCTATTCTTCACATGTACCCTTACCATGTGCAGCATTTCAGTAAAATTCCCTTCGTCTTCTATATACTAATAGTCGAACAAAGCCGAAAAAATCACCTTGGTCCCCACCACTATCTTAATTAACAACATATTGGCTCCGCCAGAGATAGATCACGTACACAGCTTGGAGTATTCACAAATATTATGGACAATGTCCGGTTAATGCTTCTATATGCCTAAGACCCAAGTACCGGGGTATGCTTGTATCCGAGGAAAGCCGTAACAAACGTTTGTCACTTAGAGCTACCAGTGAATTCACAAACGGACACTCACCTTTCCCTGTCTTCGATCAAACTGACTTCAGAGAGCGTGTCTCACCTGTGCCAGCGTGTCAGCTATAATCTTCTTGTCACATGCTCGTGATCAATTGTTGCATTAGTCCAACGAACCAATGGACGGACCCCACGCACCCTTTGGTGTTCACCGGGCGTTTTCTCGCGAACACAATGAAAAAGTCCGGCTAAATTACTTCCGATTGTATCTCGGAGATGGATGCTCTGTAGCTTTACTGTAATCTTTGCCGGGTAGTCGGTATACGCAAAAGAAAAGTTGTCGTACCTGCCACTTAGTATCTTCGAACGTTACATCACGTGTCCTTAGACCAATGATTAAGCGGACTATCTTATGACAGTGTACATGTACAACGTACAGTCTGCAAGTATATGTACATGTTCCAGTATCTTATAATCTATCGAGAGGTACAATAAGCTATGACACAATTCAGGCAGAAAGTTAATAAGATTTGGCCATTCTTTTTTACCCTTTTTATCGACATTTCAGTCTGAATTTAACTGTGCACTTTGACACATTTTTTTCCTATTAATTTCTTTAACAATTCATGCGGACCGTTTCGAGCACTTTGCTTGTCTAGAAACATGCTGGTCTACCGGTACATGAGAATGGGGTCTAAGAGAAAATATTAATGACGGTGACACGGTTGGAACGGTGACAGGCACACCACAGTTATTTCCTTATTAAACAGAGATCCGGAGAACTACGTCCACATGTTAAAACATGTCAATTTGTAAACAAGAAATTTGAAGATATACTTTGTATGCTTTTTAATGAACAAAAAGAACATATAGAAGACGAAAATCATTACTAAATTAATGAAAACCCAGCCGTAGTCAGCCAGCAATTTCAAAGGGGTTCTTTTTCTGAAAAAGTGGACCTTTCATAGCGAAACCTCCGTGCTTTTATTATTTTCCAAGTTTTCATTAAGGAAAAACTGAGTCGATGTTACAGTGTAGTAACTTAAACCATGGAACATATAGTTCCTGCTTAAATATATTCTATTTGCTGAAAAGTTTTGAAAGACCCAAAAAGACAAAAAGACAAAATATTTTGTTCTTCATGTTCTTAAATAAATATCACATTAAGACAATGATAAGTCAGGCAGTTAAACACAAAAAAGAAAATTGATTACTCATTAGAAGCACAATATAGAAACCTGAGTTTTGCTTTATCATTGTTCTAAGAGTAACTTCATAAAACACGTACATGCATGCTGTGAAACAGTCTCAAACAACACTGTACAATAAACTGCCTCAAAGAGAGTAGAGGGAGAAGAAAAATATCACAGCAACATTAGTAATATGCAGCGTCATCTTATGTATAAAGCTGAAATTGCGCAATGGATCATCACTAGCATTACACAAAATCATCCACGTGATATACCGTTGTAAAGTACAACAGCACCAAGTATATTGCATATATAATACAACAGACATTTACACCTCAAATAAGACAACATAAATTTGCACCATATTATACGTGTACCAGTTTTAAAAGGTACCACAATTATATTTCTCTTGCCCAAAGGATAACTTGGCCTACCTGGGTGGATCATTTTCTACAATATTATATAAAACTACGAGAAAGTGTAATCACGTAATTCGCTTTTCCAATTTTATTTATTGAAGGTAAGAAAACTATACAATAAGAAGGAAACGCCAAGAGCAAAAACACACCTTATGGCAGTCATCAGGTTTACTTGGCCTACCTTCTCATATTTCAAAGATTGAGGGTAGTATCACTAGTAATTACAATAAACAAAGGAGATGAATTGTAAACCGCCTACATCCGGCTGGCCTTTGTGTAAGTTGCATTCAGGACACCGTAGTTAATGCTGCCAACTTCGGGACAAAGCGAACGTCGCGAGGCGAACAGCGATCAACCGTGCGATAGCGATCGGCTTAACTAATGTATCACTGCGGTAAAAGGGCTATCTGACTATTGTTTGTAATAAACAAGCATTTTACACGAAGACTTACTCGTGTAACTTTAACTTGTAAAAGTGCCAGATTGTGCTGGACAGCGAGCCCCCCACGCCGACCCAGTCTGAGAAATGACAGAACAGGATGAAATGTACAGCGGTTTACACCTGGACGATTTTACTTGTGGTTTTGAGTATAGTCTGTTATTTCAAATGTCAACTGTGGAGTTGCTCTGGGTACCATGCTGGTATGTAATTACCGGTATATGCACATTATTACATCCAGGGCCCCGTTTCATCAACTTTGGATATCCCTATCATATGGATAACGCTATCCTTTGGATAAATTGTTATCCTCTGGACAGTTATCCTGAGGATAGCAGACTTTTTATTTAACCAATGAAAAGCAATATCAGAGACAAAAATAAGTACCGGGTATCTACTGTTTAGTAAACATTACTTTACTCACAGGATAATTGCCCAGAGGATAACAAAGTTATTTAATTGACAGTATTATCCAGAGGATAGCACTATCCAGTGTTGATGAAACCAAGGAGTTATAACAGTTATAACTGTTATAACTCCTTGATGAAACTAAGCCCAGGGTCCAAAAATGAGGGAAGCGAAAAAAACGTTTAAATGGGTGAAAACTGGGTATCTTTCTAGTCAAGCAACAAGGTCGCCATATCTTATGAGAAATTATTACTAGTATATGGAGGTTTCGCAAACTGCCGAAGCAGGAATACTAAGTGCAACATGTGAACTACTGGTAGGTCTTCACCTTGAGCTTATTACAACCTCAATTTTCGTAATTCGTCAGTCCAAGTTACGAGGGTTTTTGGAAATCGATCTTCATGTTCAATCTCCAAGACAATTCTAGCCTTTGTGTACTATAAGCACTGTACAAGTGTGATCTTAAATGTATTTGAAAAATGGATTTTAAAAAAGTGCAGTTAAAATTTTTTAAAAGAGCAGAAATACAAAATTCATTTTTTCTTCATATTACAGAATTTATGCATGTACTTTGGAAAGGAAGGGCTTCTATAAATTACATTGTTTATCACATATCGATACCTTAACAATTATAGCAAATTCACGAAATTGTGTACCTGTAATGAATGAAATTGGAATGTTTGAAATAAATAAATTCCCCCTTCCCAAAATAAAACAATGATTTTAATAGTCGGTTGGTTTGGATTTTAATTAAAATTTGGATTTATCTAAATAAGGCCGACAGCTGCTAAAATCTCAAGTTTCTAATTGTTTAAAATATATATATATATATATTTTTTTTTTAACATTGACTTAATGTAGGTTGTTTCTTTTTTCTACAAGACTGCCAATAGACTGTTTATATGCAGTGAGAGCATGTTACGGCGCGTAAAAATTCATGATCATCAATTTTAAGAAATTACATGTACCCGGTATTTATACCCTAGTGGAGTTCAGGTTGGTCTGAACGTCAGGAAAGAAAGTTTTATACAGCTCTGATCCAAGATAAATCTACAGTAGTCCAACTACATGATAATTATGAACCTGTTATACTTGAATTTAAAAGTGCCTTTATATTACCTGTATACTGAACGAAGATATACTAAATATTCACCGTTAACCGAAGAATAGCAGTTTTCGCTATAAACGTTAACTGCAATGCTTTTCTACAAACCCATTACAAGCAATCACGCGTTGAGACTTAAGCATCGTTTGATCGAAACATTTACTGAAATATGCGAGACGCCACCCTCTTCACCAGTAGCGATCTATAACTTAATGTATAGAATCAAATAAAGGAGAATAAACGTGTGATACAGTTAGGGTCATTTTTATTCTGAAAGTTTTAAATTTTATCTAACCATATTACTTGATTTCTAGTTCTAATTTCGATTCTCAGTAAAATTAAAGTTCCAGGAATCGTATTTATTCATTTTTTAGGTTTGATCTACCCACTTGTGCTCATATAAGATGGGCATACTAGTGCTTGCAACACTAGTACTGAGGAAATAGTCACTTAACATTTACTGAAGTTGAGAACAAGTTCCTTTTTCTTGTCACACCAACATGGTATAGCCTTGAATAACAACTGCATGCTCTTTCTGTAAGCTAGGCAATGTTTCTTCTCAAAATATTGCCACCATTTGCCATATTCACAGCAAATGTGATCCTGCCCTACGGCATCGTACACCTGCTTCTCACAGTAACACATGTGCACTAATCCCACCGGAGGTCTGTAAAATATCACATATTTTAAAATACATCACCCAATACAATGTGCTTTCACGGCATTAATGTACGTACAAAGGTAAATTTATATTTAAATGGACAATCAATAATTTCTTGTACCAAACCATACCTTAGGATTGTCATAGAATTAGATTATATAACGATAAGAAAAGGACATTTACAAAGTTACTAATATATGTATACAAGAATACGATTGAATACAAGAATCGGCGAAGTCAAGAAACTGAAAAGTGACAGGAAAGTCTTTTGTCTGATGTTTACCGCTGTACTGTTTAAAGGCATATACCGGTATTACCTTAACTATAATGATAACTTGGGTAGCGTCCGCCAACTCAAAGCGAAAATGCATGGTGACGTAAAAGGTCGACCAAAGCATACAGGTAATGGACACCACAATTTTGTCATATGCAAATTTAACATTAAAAGACGACAGAAAACTACTCCCGGGCTGACAGGAATGGTAGTCCTAGAAATTAAGACCAGGGTCCCATATCATTTCAGATTAAATGTACCCGTAGAACAGGTTAGGGTCAGTATAAGACGTACTAGTACTAGGGGTAGTACTTCGTACATCTATATGGCGCGAATGTCACCTGTATAAAGTGATGGGAAAGTGAATACGGTACCCAGAGAACTACCATTCCTGTCAAACGGGTAGACGTTCTCGGTCAAAATACTCACTTATCACACAGACACATATCGTGTCGAAGACAGGTTTCGTCTAGGCTGTCCTTTGGTTTCAGACATTTACTAGATGGATGAAAAATATAACCCGGTTAAAAAAGTGAATGGACTCTCTAATAATGTAGTACAAAGTCCTTTATTTTTGCGGTGAAATCACTGAGAAT